TGAAGACAGCGGGGTCTGGGACTGTTCTCGCCGCCGGGGGGGGGGAGGGGCCGCAGCGTGTGTGCGGGCGTGTCCGTCCGCGTGCCGGGCCCCGGGACAAGAGCGTGAATAACAGCAACAGCATCCAACGTGCACGATGCTTTCAGAGTAAAAGTGTCCAACGTGCACGATAACTTTTGAGGCAGCTCATTCATGCAGCAAATGCAACACCCAAAAGAGTATCAACCAATTTTGAGGGGCTTTTTTAACTATTAAAATATATTTATATAGATATATATGTATACATACACACATCCTCTATCACAACCTTAAACTGCACAAAGAAATCTGTACACCCATTCCCCTGCACCAAATTTTGGGCTTATAGCCAGCACTTTCTCATCATGGTTTACCCCAAAATGAGGGTCTGACTCGATGATCTATTTAAGCCCCTCCCAACACTAACATCTATGAAAATAAACTAATGTTTTGACTGTGATGACCCAGTTCTCTCTCACTCACTGCTGAGCTACAGTGAGCAATAGAAAGTAAATAAGAATATTTATTTGTATATGTATTTGCATATGTATTTGCATGTTTTTCAGTGTACGATAGTTTTTCAGCAAAGGCAATGATTTTGAGGTTTCAATACAATAATTACATATTTAAGACCTCACAATAGGTGGGTTTTTTGTAAAAATCTATTTCTATAAGTATGTATAGTTATATACAGCACCTAGTGTAAACTTTCCATCACACACCTTAAACCACATTATTGTAACGGGTGCGCTGTTTCTTAAACGCACCCACTCCCCTGCCCCCCCACGCACCCACCCGCTGCCCTTTCCCTAACCCTATCACAGGCCCTTAGTCCTAGCCTCCATTTGGGGTTTACATTCTCAGTTCATTCACTGTCCTTCTTGCTGTCGCTGTCACTTCCACTGCTGCTGATCCTGTTGCTGTCTTCCTCGCTGTCTCCGGGTCCAGTTTTGTCGTTGTCCCCTAAGACCTGGCAATGCTGCTGGGAGGTGTGCAGCACTCTGGGACTCCTGCACAGAGACGGCTATATGAGGAGGGGAATATTTGCCCTCTTTCCTTTTGCTTTGGGGTGTCCCAGTGTCCCCAAGCAGTGACTGAGCAGAGGAGGTGGCCCCTGGGCACGGCTGCAGGCAGTGGCAGGCAGCTTTGGCCTGGGCTTTCCAGGGAGGCACAAAGGACTGAAATGTGCCTTCCTTTTTTAGGAACCCCCTTTTTTCCCCCCTCGTGATGCTGGGGGAGACGAGGTGTTTGCCACTGGCACTCAGCAGGCAGTCGAGGCCATGAGGAAGCCTGGCAGTGCCTGAGCACCAAGCCAGCCTGTCTCCATCCACAGACCGGCGGGCAAGCGGAAATGAGGCAAGAAAGCAAGAGGAAGCTCCCTAGTTTGTCCTGACAGCTTTTTACACAGTGCATGAAATGCGCACACATTTTTTTTTTTTTTTAAAGGCCTATGAATCCCAACCGGCAGCACGGTGTCTGGACCAAGTGCACTGTGTCAAACCTCCCCGGTTTTTGAGAAATGGCACTATAAGCTGGGCACTGTTGGGAGGTGCTGACTGACACCACCAAGGGCTGCAGTCCTTGGGTTTATTTTGTGGAAGAGGGAGCTCATGAGCAGACTCCCCCTGCCATCGCCCCAACTGTCAGGCCTCACCTTTGTCCTCATGGGAACACCTCTGGGACAAGGGGGTAGCTTGGTGTCCAGTGCTGTTTTACAAAGCCGACCTGTTTTCAGTTCTCTGTGGGCTGCTTGCCTGCAGAGATGTGCCCTTGTATACACAGCACTTCCCGTGTCATCTGCAGCTTGATCCCATGGGACAGCCTCTAAAGGCCTTGAATGTGAAAACTAATAAATGCACTGGACAAAAAGAATGCACAGTGCTCCTTTAATGGTCCCCACTGGCAGTGAAGCAGCTAAATTAGAAACTAAAAATCTGGAGATAGCGGGCTGGAGCAAAACCTTTCATTGTGGCATATATTATAGCCCTGAGAAAAACATTTATTATGGCTCTTCCAGCAGTATCTGGCCACCTGAGAAAGGATCAGAATCCCTTTTTCCAGACAGAAGCCTGGAGTCATAGGGAAAGTCCATCCCTCAGAGAGCTGCACTGACGTAACCAGTTGGCCACGCTCTCTATTTTTTGGTATAAAACAGCAGTGTTAAGCATATGGCCTGCAAGCCAGATACAGCCTGCAGACCTATTTCAATCAGTTCATGGGGAGGAGGAGGAAGTAGGGCCCAAATTCCCAGTGTTGCAGTGTTGGCAGTAGGAGTGGGGTATGGTGAGCAAGGGCTATGTGTTCACTGCTTTCCTGATGCCAGGTCCAGATCTCATTGCAGTCTGGATATGGCCCACAAGGAGCCACATGGTCCAAATCTGGGGCCACAGGTGAGTTTGACACTCCTGCTATAAAATAATTGCTCTCTTCACTAGGCTTCTGCCCACAGCAAGGGGGGGAGGATAGCAAGACAATGGCAGGTTTGTTTCTCAGACAAACTGTGAGCAATATTGTTCTCTTGTAACATTTTCTTATCTATTCCAAGACTATTTTTGGTTCCCTTTCCCAACCCTGATCATGTTTAGCTACAATGAGAGATGGCAAAAATGCCACTTTTGTTTAGTGCAACAGCTCTGTATAGCGTGAGAACTAGCCTTGAGGTCACAGGTCGGCCGGAGACAAAGAACAGAGAAAGTTAAACAAGGCTGCAAAGAGTAAGCTTCTGTTGTTGTTGTTTTAAATGTATTTGGTGTTAGGGGAGATGTACACAAACTGCCAGCCACAGCTCTGATCAGGGCACCAGCTATAGACCGTAACAAGAAGCTTCTCTCCCTCTCAATATACCAGGCAAGAGATTTTGTGATAATAACAGTGATCATTATAAATGAACTTCCTGGTGAGAAACAGTCTGTCACTGTAATGTAAGACCAGGAGTCTGGTGATCAAAGGCCTTCTTCTTGCCCTGACACTGACTGGCCATATGCTAAGCAGGTCACTTCACCTTTCTGTTCATCAGTCTCTTCCTTTATACAGTGCTTGAGGATTAGTTCATCCAAGCTTGAAAAGCAGTTTGACACACACAGGGAGAAGACACTGTAGACATGCCAAATGCCTCTATTTTTAGGGTGCTATATGGAAATATATTACTAGAAAAACCTTTAAAGCCAGAATCTAAAGCAACACGGACTAATATATGAAACTGCCTTAAAGCTGGTGCAGAAACAAATCATGCAGTCTCTTCTCATTAGGCACACACAAGGACTGAGACAACACTGTGGGTGAAACTGCTAGAATTTTCCCCAAAAGATTTTCAGCTTTACAAACTTAATTTTGCAAAAACTTTCCCCTTAATTGAAGCTACTGGGATTTTTTTCACGCAAATTTGAATTAAGAACATGTTTTTGTTGCTAAATATAAGCCTATTGTACGCAAACAATAATGATCCCTTTTAAAAACAATTCTCACTCCACATGCCAAGAGTTATACAAACCAAAATAGTGTGAATCCCTTTGCATGCTCTCACTCAGTGAAAGGCTATTTTGACAGTCTATGAAGTCCAATAGAGATAAGCTTAGAAAGTTTCTGGCTTTTACACTTAAAAAGAACTCTTTGAGAAAGTGTAAGCCTAAAATCTGAGCTCAGTGTTTTGGGTTTTTTTAAAGAAAAAAATGAGAAAGACTACTGAACTTTTAAAACCTACAGAGAATAAAGGTGTGGGGATTTTAAAAAATGTTGTAATGTCAACAAACTAGGCAAGATGTTGTACAGGGTCTGATCATTTATTGATTACAAACACAAGATTGTAAGCGCACTGCGTGTCAGATATTTGTGCTAGTGCAGAGGAAACAAAATGTGATTAGAAGAGATGACAGAAATTTCTCAGTAGAGCTCCAAAATCCAGCCTGAGTAAAATGGAGTATCAGTCGAAAAAAGGAACTCCAGGCCAGATTCTGGGCTATTACACAACTGTATAAAGATAGCAAAGCCACATTTATTTTTATGTGCATAATTTTGTCTTGATGTCTTTGCTTTCTATTTTTAAATGTCTTTCCTCTGGAGACTTATATAAGTGAGAGAACAGGACAAGTGAAATAAGGGAAAAAGGAACATTTTAGTCATATCCACTGGCATTTTCATTCCAAGACCCGTTGCTTTTGTGCCGCTATATATTGGTATCAATCGTCCTTTCTTCCTTTAATTAGATGCATATTCATCTCTTTCAACACTTTTGCTTGTGTACAGTATTCCTTGTGACATTCTTATATATGTGGCTGTTTCCCTGCTCTTGATGCTCTTTTGGAAGTTTGAGTCATATTGAGTCAAACACAGAATACATTAAAAAACAAGATTTTGGGATTCTTGTAGTTAACTAGCAAAGCTAGTTATTGTTTCATTTTTATTTAGGTCATCCAAGTTTTAAAAATGAACATATTTCTATTGTTTCATTTTTATTATGAAATAGAAATATTTGTATATTATTCATTGGCATATGCTTTCAATAGCTACTGAAAACAAAAGTCCCCACATATTCCAATTCAAAGCAGGTACATGAGGAGAGTGTTGCTAGTTAGTCATCAGAGTTGTTTGACTCAATATGACTTTTAAAACAGACTTATTAGTTGATCAAAGTATTCA